ATGACCGTTTGCTTTTTCTTGCATGATGTTCTTGATGTCATCCCACAACTCTTCTGGTCTTCAGTCTTTAGTGTCTTATGCATCAAATCTGTTCTTCAGATGATCTCTAAAATCAGGTGGGATAGATTCAAAGTCAATTTTTGGCTCTTGTGGACTTGTTTTAATTTTCTTCCGCTTTAGCCTAAACTTGCATATGAGCAATTGATAGTCTGCCCCACAGTCAACCTTGTTTTGGCTGATGATATGGAACTTTTCCACCTTCTCTTGACACAGATATAGTTAATTTGATTTTAGTGTATTCCTTTTGGTGAGGTCCATATGTTATAGTCATCTTTTATGTTGTTTAAAAAAAGTATTTGCAATGAAGAAGGCATGGTCTTGCAAAATTATATCATGTGATCTCCAGCATCGTTTCTATCACCAAAGCTATATTTTCCAACTACTGATCCTTCTGGTTTCCAACTTTTGCATTCCAATCGCCAGTAATGATCAATACATCTAGATTGCCTGTTTGATCAATTTCAGACTAAAGAAATTGGTAAAATTCTTCAATTTCATCAACATTGGATTTAGTGTTTGATACGTAATTTTGGATCACAGTTGGTATTATCTGGTCATTCTTGTAGGCTTATGGATATTATCCTATCACAGAAGAAGTATACTTCAAGGTAGATCTTGAAATGTTCTTTTTTATTTGAATGCAGTGCCATTCCTCTTCAAGTTATCATTCCAAGCATAGGAAACCATATGATTGTCAGATTCGGAATGGCTAATATCAGTTCCTTTCTGCTCACTAATGCCTAGGATACTGATGTTTATATGTTCCATTTCATATTTGATAACTTTCAATTCACCTAGATTCATACTGCGTACATTTCCGTGTTGTGATGATTAATGGGTACTAACAGCTGTTTCTCCACATTTTGAGTTGTGCCCCATCAGCAAATGAAGATCTTGGAGGCCTTACTCTATTCATGTCATTGTAGTCAATTCTACTTTGAGGAGACAGTTCCTCCCCACTCGTATTTTGAATGCCTTCCAACCTGAGGGGCTCGTTGCCCAGCACTATATTGGACAATATTCTGTTGTTTTTCTCATGTTTCAATATTCAGTATTCCAGTGCAATCTGACAGTGTTCCACTGCTATTCATAAGGTTTCAGTGACTAAATATTCGGCAGTAGTTGCGTAGTCATTACAAATCGGGCTGCAAACCTCAGGTTCAGCAGTTCGAAACTACCAGCTGCTCCATGGGAGAAAGATGAGGCTTTCTGCTCCCGTAAAGATTTATAGCCTCGGAAATCCTACATACAAGGTTGCTTTGGGTTGGAACTGACTCGACCGCACTTAACAACAACAAGTCACTCTCTTCTTCTTCGTAGACTCTCTTCATCTCGAAGCTCAGCTGAAAGTGTCCACCATTATGTCACAGTAACAGAGACGCTACCACAGTACAACAAACTGACAAATGAGTGGCTGTGAGAAGGCACCCTATATAGAATTGGCTTCCACACACTCAAGAAGCATGTGTGGTTATATGCCATGGAGTTGGTTCTGACTCATAGAGACCTTGTACAGGATTTCCTAGGGAGTAAATCTTTACGGGAGCAGAAAGTCTCATCTTTCTGTTGCAGAACTGCTGGTAGTATTGAACTACTGACCTTGAGGTTAGCAGCCTGACTTGTAACCACTACGCTACCAGAGTTCCATGAAGCATAGTTCTTGTTTGTACCTCCACTTCCTAAGTCAGGGGTGTGTCATTTCAGTTCAAAAGGTCAAATAACTGTTCATGGTCACTAAATGGCATAATCAGGTTATAAACGCACGCTGACTAAGTTGTAACCTGACCTCTTAACCACTTTGCCCAATTTGATCTGTGCTTTTACTAAAGGTTTAGTTTCTCAAAGAATAGGTGAGGACTCCAGCTAGTAGCTAACATCAGTTGGTCATTTATACAGTGAGCGTGTAAGAGGCATTTCGCCTTTCAGACTTCTTGTTACATACTCACATTATTTTCTGTGAACGTGAGTGGATGGAAGCACAGCCTTTCCCACTCTAACATTCTTAGATACTCATACACTTTATTCTTAAGTTCATGGATTTTGACCTGTCCCTATTTTGGGCTCAGCACTTTAGTTTTCCATGTTTTTCCAACTTCTCTATGTTCTTTTCTGTGTCTTGCTTCTTAGTTGATTCCATACGTCTTTGTTTTGTCTAAAAGAGTAGTGATGACAGTGGTTCCGATGAATCAAGACTTTCTTTGCTAAATTACTGGACATCTCCTAAGTCACAATGCTTACCATTGAAATTGAAAATAATGTCTGGCTAATTTACACACCACACCACCACACTATGCTTTCTATATAACGCACCCACGTAAACAATGCACACATGCATATGGCGTCACATAACTTAAGGAAACTAACATGTGAGGGGGTTGCATGGATTGCCAAAAAACCCACATAACATTTGCTCTAAAATACAGTATACAGTGTACAGTACTCATGCTGTTGCCAGGGTGCCTTTGAAGGATGGACATCTCATAGCTTGGAAGGTTGACTTACAGACCTCTGTGTGAATCTATGTGGACAGAGTTGCTCTAAGGGTTGTTTTGTGTTCCTTTTCTAGCTGGCCTGCTGCTGTGGTTCTGCCGGCTGCTCCTTGTGCTGTGGCTGTTGCCCCAAATTCCGACAGTCCCGCGGTACCCGCTTCATGTACGCACTCTACTTCATCCTCGTTGCCGTTCTGTGCTGCATCATGATGTCAGAAACCGTGGTCCACAAGATGAGAGAGCATGTAAGTCTGCCTGTCTTCAACTCTTCCTGTTTCTGAGGTTTGATTTTGGCAGTAGGAAACATTACCTTTAGAAAACAATTCTCCTTACATGGGGTTGTCATGAGTCAACTTGATGGATAGTGCTCTTCCCCACTAGCTCCCCTGTTTGGTGGTGGTGGTTTTGGGTATTCCCACTCTATTTGAACAGCTGAGGCCTCTTTAATGCTTTACTGCCCTTCAGGCAAGCCATTCAGTATAGATGTAATCTGATGCTTTTGGCAGAGAATGTGTTAATCAGAGAATTGTGTGTTTTGTCTTTTGTCTTAGCTTTGTTTATAGCTGTTTCTAATTACTGAAGTCTTTTCTTATAGGCTATTATATTTTTCTGAATCATAATATGGCTGCGGTTATTTCAAGTAGCAGATATTGAGTATTGAATTTGGCAGAAATGAAAACTCTGATCAAATTTTAGATAATCCCACAGATAGTGTGGGTGGGTTGTGGACAGAGCACCACCTCTGGTGGTGAGGCATGGGTTTCCAGCCTCCTCTTGTATGATGCTTGCTGATGTAGGCCTGGTATGTGAAGATGACGGAGACACATGTAGGACTTTTTTTCTGGCATTTCTCTCTTTTCTTCATAGTAGGCTTCTTGAGCAACAAAATTACAGTGGGATATTTGAGGGTGTGGTGCTGTGGGTTAATGCGCCAGACTGCGAATCTGTTTGAACTGCAAGGTTGGTGGTTCAAGCTCACCAGCTGTTCCTTGGAAACCCTTTACAGGGTCACTAAGGAGTCCTGGTGTGGTGCTGTGGGTTAATGCACCAGACTGCAAAGCCGTTTGAACTGCAAGGTTGGCAGTTCAAGCTCACCAGCTGCTCCTCAGAAACCCTATACAGGGTCACTATGGGTCGGAATCGACTCAAAGGCACTTGACAACAACAACAATGGGTCAGAACTGACTCAAGGGCTCTTAACAACAACAACAAATAGTACTATTATTCCCCTCCCACGCTCTGAATCACTTAAAAATAAGATGAAAACTGAGGTGAGATAATGTGTGGCTCTCATATCTGTAGGGAGGTGAACTTCCTATTATTGAGTTCCAGAATGAGTCAGGTATGCCCCCTGGGGACAGCTCTTTTCCCAGAGAAAGGGAGAGGAAAGGCTAGCAAACTCTGTTTCTCCTCACAAACTCAGTACTCCATCCTGCAGGGGCAGAGAGGGGAGGGGAGGGATGCAAAATTAGTGAAGTGGAGAGAGGGTAGGAACATCAGTATGCTAATGAAACTCTCTTCTTATCTCTCTTATCAGAAGGAGCAATTCCTGAGGAAGTATCTTCCTTCCTAATCCTTAGGCTGAAATTGTGGCACAGTCAAGTATTTCAAAACAACAATTTTCTTAAAAGCATTTCGTAAATTCCTGTCCATTGGTTAAAGTAAGCCATTAGAAGGACAGTGCTTTTATCACTATGTTTCCAGAGTCTTGAATATTAGTGGAAACTAAGGAGTTTTGGTAGCATGTTGTTGTTAAGGTGCCATCGAGTCGGTACACACTCACAGCGACTTTAGGCACAGCAGAATGAAACACTGCCCAATCCTGGGCCAACCTCACTACTGCTGCCATGCTTGAGTCCATCGATGCTGCTACTTGGTCAATCCATCTTGCTGGGGGTCTTCTTCCTTTTCTCTGACTTTCCACCTTATCAAATATGATATCCTTATCCAGTGACTAATCCCTCCTGACAATACGTCTGAAGTAGGAGAGAGGAAGTTTGGCCATCCTGGCCTCCAAGGAGCACTCTGACTGCACTTCTTCCAACAAGGATCTGTTGGTTCTTTTGGCAGCTCATGGCACTTTCAATATATTCCTCCAACACCCAAACTCAAAAGCATCAATTCTTCTACGGTCTTCCATATTTACTGTCCAGCTTTCACATGCATATGAAGTTATTGAAAATACCATGGCTTGGGTCAGGCGCACCTTCGTCTTCAAGCTGACATCTTTGCTCTTCAACACTTAAAAAGGTCTTGTGCAGCAGATTTGCCTGATGCAATACGTCATTTGATTTCTTGACTTCTGTTTCCATGAGTGTTGATAGTTGATCCAAGAAGAATGAAGTCCTTGACAACTTCAATCTTTTCTCCATTGATAAGAAAGTTGTTTATTGGTCCAGTGGTGAGGATTTTTGCTTTCTTTACATTGAGATGTAATCCATACTATCAGTAAATGTTTTAAGTCCTCTTTACTTTCAGCAAGCAAGGTTGTATCATCTTTATATCGCAGGTTGTTAATGAGTCTTCCTCAATCCTGATGCCACGTTTTTCTTCATAGAACCCAACTTCTCGGATTATTTGCTCAGCATACAGGTTGAATAAGTATGGTGAAAGAATACAATGCTGTCTCACACCTTTCTTAATTTTAAACCATTCAGTGTTCCCATGTTCTGTTCAAACAACTGCCTGATGGTCCAGGTACAGATTCCTCATGAACACAATTAAAGTGTTCTGGAATACTCATACTTTGTGATGTTGTCCATAGCTTGTCATGATCCACACAATCAAAAGCCTTTGTGTAGTCAGTAAAGCACAGGTAAGCATCTTTCTGATAACTCTCTGCTTTCAGCCAAGATCCATTGGTCATCAGCAATGATATCCCTCGTTCCACGGCCTCTTCTGAATCTGGCTTGAACCTCTGGAAGTTCTCTGTCTATGTATGCTTGCAGCTGTTTCTGTATTACCTTTAGTAAAACTTTACTAGCATGGGATATCAAAGAGACTGTCTGATGATTTCTGCATTCCACTGGGTCACCTCTCTTTGGGATGGTCACAAATACAGATCTCTTCCAATCAGTTTTGGTACAGTGACACTGTGTATTCCTTCCATCTTTTGAAGCTTTCTGTATCATTCAATAATTTGCCCCGAGAATACTTCAATAACGAAAGTTGAGGCATGAATTTTTTGTTCAGTTCCCCCAGCTTGACAAATGCTGAGCATGTTCTTCCTTTTTGGTTTTCTGATTCCAGATCTTTGCACATTTTGTTGCAATATTTGGCTTTATCTTCTCAAGCTGATTTTTGAAATTTTCTGTTAAGCTTTTGTACCTCCTCATTTCTTCCATTTGCTTTAGCATCTCCATGCTGGAGAGCAAGCGTCAGTGTCTCTTCTGACATCCATTTTGATCTTTTCCTTCTCTTTTGCCTTCTTAATGACTTTTGCTTTCTTCCAGTATGATGGTCTTGATGTCATCCCACAACTCTTCCGGTCTTTGGTCTTTAGTGTTTAATATATCAAATCTGTTCTTCACATGATCTCTAAATTCAGATGGGATATATTCAAGGTCATATTTTGGCTCTCATGGACTTATTTTCATTTTCTTCAGCTTTAGTTTGAATTTGCATATTACTAATTGATGCTATGTTCCACAGTCTGCCCCTGGTCTTGTTTTGACTGATGATATGGAGCTTTTCTATCTTCTCTTTCCGCAGATGTAGTCAATTTGATTTCTATGTATTCCATCTGGTGAGGTCCATGTGTGTAGTCATCTCTTATGCTGTCTAAAGAAGGTATTTGAAATGAATAAATCATTGATTTTGCAGAATTCTATCATGCATTCTCTAGCATCAT